GGAAAGGATCAAAGATTTATTTGCTATAAGAAATCTAAAGGTATGTAAAGCATGATTCATGAATTTCGATTTTCATAGAGTCCCTTTAGGGTTCTTGAAGTTCATAGTATGTTGCTATCAATTAGAGAAAACATAGTTCCTTTATAGGTTACATGTGAACTTAAGTGTTAAGATTTTTCTGCTTTACAAGTTTTGATAACCTATAAAACCAATTAGTGGTATTAGAGCCATTGTTTTCTATTGACTAGTGCATGAGATGAATTGGTATTGATTAGGGTTTATCAAAAATAAACCCTTGCTATTGTAAATTTCGACTTCTGCTAGGGTTTCTTGAAACCCTACCCTCCTTGCCTTATTTTCGAAAATGCCTTAGGGTTTGTTATAGAAATGGGGTATAGTAAGGCTTGGAATTCTGAGAATTGTATAAAACACTTTCAGATTAAAGCATTTGGGTGGTACTCTCAATATTCTTTAATCGGATAAGACTCAGAGAGACAAGAACTTAGAATGTTTTGATGATAGTTTCGTATATACCAGAAATGAGACCAAAACCGACTTTATGATCTTTGTCTGAAAACTGTGACATGACAGTTTCAAACTGTCATAAAACTATAAAAACTGACATAAAAACGGAAGTTTGGACCCCCAGCCAGGGGCTGTCGCCCCTTGGACCCCGCTACCAGGGGCGCTGCCCCCGGACCCTCGTTTGTTTAGGGGCTTCGCCCCTAAATGATAGTGTACTTTGAAACTTAATCAAACTTAAACAAGTGTGTACTCCATACCTTCCTTACTTGTTTTATATTTATCAAGATCACTTTTGGTCAACAAAGTAATCCCATTACACTTAAAAAATATTGATGATAACAAATCACCAACAAACCTCCCCCATTTAAGTGTAATCTTGATTAACTTAAAATGAAACATAACACCAACAAACTGATGCATAAATGAAATGTCGTGACGATTGAATTTCATCTTAGTATATTACACAATCCAAATATTCGAATATCAGGGTGTCACTAAGGATTGAACCTTTTCTATCCATAGTGAATACATGAAGATAATACACACAACAATTTACATTCTCATAAGTTCTAACTTGACACTATATTTTACTAGATTGTGTCCCATCCTTTAGTAAGCATATCAAAGCCAAGTCCTAACTTCTTGAAGCAGCTAAACTTCATGCTTATATAGGTAGTCCTTTTATTCTTGCACCTGCAAATGTAATTTTTCGAAAGAACTATTAAGAATATAAATTCAACCTCCTTTACTTGCAATACTGAACACATACCTGGGGATGATGATAGTAATGTGTTCCAATCTTCAAATATCAATCTTTCCACATTGAATTCAACATCTAATATCACATTAGATGGGAATTGGGTATCTCAATATAAAAGATTTTAAGTGGAATTTAATACCATCCCTACAGCCGCCTTGTGCACAAGATCTCTTGCTAACCCTTTGGTTAGATGATCGGCTAAATTCAACTGAGTTCTTACAAACTCCACAGATATCACACCAGTCATGATGAGCTCACGAATCATGCTATGTCTAACACCTAAATGTCTAGACTTTCCATTGTACACTTGACTATAAGCCTTAGCCAAGGTTGCAGCACTATCACATCTGATAGAAATGGTAGATATCGGTTTGGGCCACAATTGAATTTCATAAATTAAATTCCTTAGCCACTCAGCTTCTTTACCAGCAGCAGACAAAGCAACAAACTCAGACTCCATGGTTGAGTTAGTAATACAAGTTTGTTTCTTACATGCCCAAGAAATGGCACCTCATCCAAGAAGAAACACCCAACCACTAGTAGAGGAGTGATCCTGTAAGTTGTTAATCCAGCTGGCATCTGAATAACCTTCCAAAATAGAAGGATATCCACTATAAGTTAAACCATAATTCATGGTCCCTTTTAAGTACTTGAATACTCTACTCACAGCTTGCCAATGATGTGAACTAGGATTACTAGTAAATCTACTAAGCCTTCCCATAGCATATGCTATATCAGGTCTTGTACTAATCATGGCATGCATTAGACAACCAATAGCCCTTGAGTATTCAAGTTGAGACACTGAAGATCCTTTATTAGGTAGAAGCTTAAGACTAGGATCTATAGGAGTGCTAACTGGAGAACAATTCTCAAAGTTAAACTTTTTCAATATCTTCTCAATATAATGAGATTGAGAAATTGAAATCCCATTGTTTCCTTTTCTAATTCTTATACCAAGAATTACCTCAGCCTCCCCCATGTCTTTCATATCAAAACTAGATGATAAGAATTTCTTGGTTTTATCAACTTCTTCTAAATCAGTACCAAAAATCAACATATCATCTACATATAAGCAAATCATGACTCCTTTACCAGAAGTATCAAATTTGTTATATACACACTTGTCTGCTTGGTTTAAATGCAAAACCATTAGACAAGACAACATCATCAAAACTTTTGATGCCATTGTTTTGGTGCTTTTTTTAAACCATATAATGATTTCTTCAACTTGCACACTTTGTGTTCATTTCCAGGCATCATAAACCCTTCAGGTTGTTTCATGTATATTTCCTCATCCAAGTCACCATTCAAGAATGCAGTTTTCACATCCATTTGGTGAATCACAAGATTATGTATAGCTGCAAGAGCTAATAATAATCTAATAGTAGAAATTCTGGCAACAGGAGCATAAGTATCAAAGAAATCAATGCCTTCCTTTTGTCTAAAGCCTTGGATAACCAATCTGGCTTTATACTTATCAATTATGCCATCCACCTTCATTTTTATTTTGAGGATCCATTTACATCCTAATTCCTTGCAACCAGGAGGTAAATCAGCCAATACCCAAGTATTGTTATGCATGATAGAATCAATCTCATCATGAATTGCCTCTTTCCAGAAATGAACATCCCTAGAAGCCATAGCTTCACTGAAAGTCTTTGGATCCTCTTCAATATTAAAACAATATTGATGTTGAGAAATAGTCTCATTCCTTGTTCCTTCACCAAAATATAGTTGAAAATCAGATCCAAAAGATTTAGCTTTTCTAGCTCTAGTACTCTTTCTAAGTTCAGGCACAGAACTTGTACCACCAGAATCATCTCCAGCTTGAGTTGTGTTCTTGCTGAAAGATTGTTGAATCATGTCCCTTCGTCTAGGTATAGATGTAAATCTTTCTTCATCAAAGATAGCATCTCTTGACTCTATAACAGTGTTCACAGACACAGAGTCATTAGATTCTAAAACATAGAATCTATAAGCTTTGGAATGCTCAGCATATCCAATAAAGATACAATCTACACATCTCTCACCCAATGTTTTCCTTTTGGGTTCAGTGAGCCTTACAACTGCTCTACAGCCCCAAACTTTGATATAACTCAAATTTGGCACCTTTTTACACCAAAGTTCATAAGGAGTATTCTTACTCCTTTTATTTGGAGTTCTGTACAAGATGTAACATGCAGTTAACATTGCCTCACCCCAAAACCCTTCACTTAAACCAGAATATGACAACATGGAATTAACCATTTCTTTCAAAGTCCTATTCTTCCTTTCAGCTACACCATTTTGTTGTGGTGTATAAGGAGCTGTGGTTTGATGTATTATTCCAGTTGATTCAAAATAAACCGGATCATAATACTCATCACCTCTATCAGTACACGATACTTTTATTAATTCATTTTTATGAAGCTTAACTTGTTGTTTATAAATTTTAAATTTATCAAGTGCTTCATCCTTAGAATGTAGCAAATAGACATACCAATATCTAGATGCATCATCAATAAAAGTAACAACATACTTTTTGTTTCCAAGGGAAGGTGTTGCATGGAAATCACATAAATCACTATGTATAAGATCCAACACCTTGCTTTTCCTAACAACATCTTTGAAAGGTTGTCTAGTGATTTTAGTTAGCATGCATGTTTTACATTTTTCATTATTTTTTATATCAAAAGCAGGAATTAAACTCATTTTAGACATGTCTTTTAATCTCTTATAACGAATGTGTCCTAATCTAGCATGCCATAATTCATATTTTTTAAAATTAGCTAGTACTAGTAGAAGCCATGCAAACAGAATTATCAGTAGAAGGATAATTAATATTAAGCCTAATCATTCCATTACATACATAGCCAAATCCTATAAAAGAACCATGTCTTGACAATATATACTTGTCACTTTCAAACACTTGTTTGTAACCACAATTATTTTATACAATTTCAGACATGATATTCTTACGAATCCCTAGAACATATAAAACATTGTTCAAACACAAACATTTCCCAGAAGTAAACGTAAGTAAAAAAAAACCTATGCCCTTGATTGGTTCAGTTGCAACCACTACTAGAAAACAGACCTTTAATGACGCGCTTTTTACGACACGCACTGATTAATGATACGCAAAAGGGCGTGCCCTTAAAATAGTGTCATCTCTCCAAAAAATTTAAGGATTTACGTCACGCATTATTGTGTGCCCTTAATTTAGTGTCTCAAGAAAAAAAATTAAAAACACGGAGGGTGCTTTATCTTAAACGTGCGTCGTCTGTACCTGTCGCTTTATAATTTTAATGAAACGCGCTTTTAGTTGACAAGGGGGAAAACGAAATCCCCAAAATTTTGAAAACCCGCCTCGTTTTTTCTACCTTCTATCTATCTTTCATCTTTGCAATCCACTCTCCCCTCTCTGATACACTCTCCTCTAGATCTCCATTAATTCTCTACCTCCCGTCTCTCTGTAAACCCTAAGCCATCGCCACCTCCCTTCTCTCTAGCACGTGCTAGGGTTTTATTTTATTCCAAGCTTCCGCTTCTCTCGTTTTCTCTCAACCCAGTACGTGCGAGGGTTATGAAATAAAGAAAAACCGTAATGCTCCACAAAGACTCCTTTCTGAAAAATATCATGTAAAGCGTGGAGACGGAGTCTGAAATCATCAAGAGGAGAACAAGAAGATAAAGCGAAGGTGAATCGTAATTGATCTGCGAGGTCTCCTCATCAATGGCGTCGACCAAATCTAAAACCTCGAATTCAAAGAATTATTCGGAGAACTTAGGTGTTAACACAAGAGGTCCCAGGTGAATCGCAATTGATTTGTAAGTATTTTGGTTCAATATTGTTTATTCTCAAAGTGTTGATTGTTGGGGGTAAATTTGTTATATTCACATCATAGTCTTTTCTCAAGTTTCGTGAGTTACAATCTTAATTTTTTTCGTTTTAGATTGACTACCTTCATTGGACCAAAAGATGTTCCCACTGATTCTACTAGTAAGGAAGCTAATCGCAAGTGGGTATGGGGGGGAAACAAAAGGTCCCATTACTAAGGTATTGAAATCTCATGATTCTATGGTCTGGGAGGCGAAATCTAAATATACTGAAAGGAATTGGAAGAAACGAAAAGAAGAAGAAATAATTTGTAAAATATGTGGAGAATTCGGCCATTTTACTCAGGTATTCAAATCTCATGATTCTATCAGCATCATCTTATAAAATGGTTGTTCTTAGTTCTTTATGATTTTTAAATACATGCAGACTGTGTTAGGCTCAACTATCTGATTCATCAACAACTAATATCTCAATATGTGATTTCACAGTAAGCTTCAAATTGAAGCCCTAAGAGAAGCCATTACTCAAATCACCACAGATGCAAAAGAGAAGAAGCATAATTTCACTGAAACCATTGAACTCCAAGTTGGACTCAAGAACTACGACCCAAAAAAGGACAAATGTTTCAGTGGAACAGTGAAATTGCCTCACATTCCTAGGCCTAAATTGAAAGTTTGCATGCTTGGAGATGCCCCAACATGTTGAAGAGGTAATAAGCTTTCTCAACTATCATGAGTCTCTTGTGATTTTCTATGCAATTTCGTAAGTGTCTATAAGTGTTCATAAACAATGATGTTTCTATAGATCTTTTTAAACAGATTGGTTTTGGGATTGTGGCTTGTGGCTTGTATAAAACATTTTATTAATGTAATTTGGTTATGGATGTCTTACTTATGTGTAAATGCGGGTTCTTCCCCCTCCTAATGTGACTGGAGCTCTACACATTGGTCATCCTTTAACTGCTGCTATCCAGGTTAATATTTTAAAGAACTCTTACATTAGGACATATGCAACAATTATTGTGTAATTACTATTTTATGTTTCTCAACATCAGCTCATGGATAGGATGTTTGATGAATTTGCAAATCTCTGGATGAAAATGAAGATTCAAGTTAGACAGATATGTTAATAATAATTAATAGGTGTTATTATAATTGTAAGATAGATATGTTAATAATAATTAATAGGTGTTATTGTAATTTGGTGAACCAGTGGGACCATTTAGACTAGTACATAGGCATAGGAGAAGGAGAAAGACATTTGATAGAAACAATAAAGATTGTTCTAATGTAAGATCACAAGTAGAAGATAAAAGCAACAATTGTGAAAACCAGAAAGGTGAAGAATCTATAATAAGGTGTAGCTCTACTTCTTCGGTAGAATCCAATTCCAGTTCACTGAATATGTTGTCAGATCGTGTTGCCAGACAAAGGGTTTCAGATGAGATTGAAGGGACTTCAGGATGGAAGCTTTCCAACTGTCCTTGGAATTTACAAGTAATTGCAAGATCTCCTAGATCTCTTACACGTTTCATGCCAGATGATATTCCGGGTGTCACTTCTCCCATGGTATACATTGGCATGTTATTCAGCTGGTTTGCATGGCATGTTGAAGATCATGAGCTTCACAACTTAAATTTCCTCCACATTGTCTCTCCCAAGACCTGGTATGCAGTCCCTGGGGATTATGCATTTACTTTTGAGGAAGTAATCCGTTCAAAGGCTTATGGTGGAGGTGTAGATCGGTCAGGTATGTAAAATGCTTACTCTTGATTATATCATTGGCATTGCAATGCATATAAAAAGAGCTGCTATAATATGCATCTCTCGCCTTCTTAAAGCATTTCTAAGACAAAAAAATGAACTTATATAATGACTATTTGTCAACATGGAATGCATAGGGCTTCAAATTACTTCTTTAGCAATTCATAAAGCTCCTGCCATTTTTGTTTAATAGTTTCTCTAACACTCTTGGGCGAAAAGACTATCCTTCTGTTTCATGCTTGCAGGTTAGTACAGAACCCTGGTGAATTTGTAGTGACCTTTCCAAGGGCTTACCACATAGGATTCAGCCATGGTAATGTTTTGCAGATTTTTTTTATGGTTTGATATATTTATACTTTATAGACTCTAATATCAAACCATTGTCTTTAAAGGTTTCAACTGTGGGGAAGCTGCTAACTTTGGAACCCCAAAGTGGCTTTCAGTAGCTAAAGAGGCTGCAGTGCGCAGAGCTGCCATGAATTTTCTTCCTATGCTTTCACATCAACAGTTGCTTTACCTACTTACCATGACATTCATTCCAAGGCGAGCTAGAAATCTTTCTAAGTCTTTTGACATATGAAGCTAGAAAGAGTTATTCCAAATTATATTTGGAGGGGTAAATTGGTAATATTGTTTAAATGTATTTTAATGGCAGGGTGCCTAGGTCCTTGTTACCAGGGATACGAAGCTCTCGTTTAAAAGATCGTCAGAAAGAAGAACGTGAGTTGTTGGTGAAGACGGAATTCATTGAATATATCCTCAAAGAAAACAAACTGTTGACTTGTATTCTTAATAGATCTTCCTCTTATCATGCAGTCGTATGGGATCTTGAATCCCTCTCACCATCTGTCATTAATAATAGTACAATCATCAATCCACAAACTGAAAACTTTCATGTTGAAAAAGACAACGAAAAACTTGTTCATGTAGAGGATGAGGACATGTCGAGTCATTTTCAAATTGATTCAGGGACATTACCTAGAATATTCTGTTTAGAGCATGCAAGCAAAGTTGAAGAGCTGTTGGACTCCATAGGTGGAGCAAAACTGCTTATAATATGCCATTCAGGTCATCATTCACAGTTTATGTTTTTCTTTTTTCAATGATTCGATTTTTTTGTGTGATTTGAAACTAACTTATTATATACTACTGTTTGTCGATTTTCTGAAAATTAAGGCACAAGTTTCAGCCATAGCAGAGGAGATTGGTAGCATGTTTAGATATGAAGATGTTGAATTACATGATGCCAGCAGGGATGACTTGGAGATCCAACATACATGATACGGCCTGTTCCAAGCAATGCATGTGATAACATCCACTGTACACTTCTTGCTCAAACTGCAGTTCATGGGGCCATGGCAGGGTTTTCTAGTTTTACAGTTGGACCTTTCAATAGCAGACATGTATATATTCCAATACAGGTAATTAAGCACTCTTACTCTCTCATATTTACATTAATTATATTATTATTATTGCCAATTAATATTTATAATTTACAATTATAAATATTGTTAAGTTGACAGATAGGATGTGGGCTAGACTTTTGGCTTCTACTAATCAACCTACAAATGTTGTTAAGTTGACTTTTCCACATGTACATTGTTTTTGTTCTTTTGTAGGCTTTGTCAGCCTTGCAGTTCTTACTTAACAGGGTCCGGAACCTTCAAGAAACTGTTTCAAAGCTGGATTTGATACTAATGTTGGCCAGGTAAAATACTTAATTTATTGGAAACAATTATGATTTACAATGATATAAGTAAAAAGACCAAATTGACACTCTTTTTGAATTCCATTGCAGTTCTTACTTAACCGGGTTTGGAACCTTCAATAAATACTTTGTGGTATTTATTGTCTTTGCAGAATATGATTGACGGGTTGGGGATTACAGGGTATGAAGGCACCTTCTGGAAGGTTTGTGAGATTACACTTTCAGTACTAAGGGAACATAGATAAACATTGATGAGTGTTCTCCAGACTTCCATCCATGATCCTCTTGTGGAGTGGACAAAAACTCATAAGTGTAGTGGAGTAGAACTCTAGAACCCTCATGCACAGGTTGGTTGCATCTTCCTTCTTTCTTTCTGTTATAAATAAAACGATTTTTGCTTTTGCTTGAAAGTTGAAATAAAAAAAGGGTTACACTTTAATATGAAAAAAAGTTGGAAGTATAATGCTATGGTGTGATAGAAAGAAGAAATGAAAGTAGATTGGTACATTCTCTCGGTTTCTGAAGATAAGATGCTAAAATAAATAGCTAAATCAAATTACAATGCTATAATTAGGTATAGGTTGCAACTGGTAGATTATTAAAGAAATGGCATGGTCACTACAGACCTGTTACTTGCTTGGTCTTTTCTAATGATCAGTCACTTTTCATTTTTGGATCTGAGGTTCGAACTGTTAAGTCTGGTCACTTCTGATGTATGTATAATTACTCATTTACCCTTTTACATTCATGAGTTGCAATTTTAGGGTTAATTACTATAATACATTTTCTTCATCTTGTGATCAGGATATGCGATACCCAAACTTTTTTACAATATAATATTGTTAAATTAATAATCTAATTCCAACTTTTTTCTTGTATTTGTAATAGTAAGGCTATATGCTCTTTGGGTTTTGCATTGGATGGATATCAATTGGTTGTTGGATCAGAGGATGGATGGAATGGATATCAATTAGTGTCAAGATATTTTCACTACCCGATTTAAATCTCATCACTGAAGAACATCTAGGTGGCGAAATAATACCACGTTCTGTTCTTCTTTGTGCCTTTGAAGGGGTATGATTCTCATCTCATCTTCATCTTTTATCTTCATCTATGAGGGCAAATTTTTAAAAAGTGTTTAATGTTTAATTACAAATACCTTAGTTGTTGTGTGCACTTGGGGATGGACATCTTTTGAACTTTTTACTCAACACAAGCACATGGGAATTAACAGACAGGAAAAAGGTGTCACTTAGGAAAGAATTAAGAATGTTGTCACAGGCTGCAAGAGATGCTGGAGCCCTTAGAGAAGGTAAGGACAAACTGGAGAAGTGAGTTGAAGAGCTGACATGGAAATTAGACTTTGAAAAGCATTTGAGGGTATATTTTTTTTATATTTATTGTATCTAATTAGTTTGTAAATTTTTGTTACAACTTCTATTGATTTGTTTTATCTTTCCATGGAACGATTATTTGTATGACATTAAATTTTATGCAATGGATTGTATTTTTTGTATATGATATTTTATTTTCTATTATGAGACATTAAATACAAATTTAATTTGAAAATTAGTAAATCTATAAATAATATTTTTTTTAAACATTTAAAATTATGATACGCAAAAATGTGTGACATATTCATTTATGACATGACCTTTCTTGACATGGGATTTAATGATACGCAATGCGAGTCGTAAATGCGTGTCGTAAGGTTACGACACGCAAATGCGTGTCATCTTCCTTTATGACAGGGCCTTCCTTGATACGCAATGCGTGTCGTAAACACGTGTCGTAAATGCGTTTCGCAATTGCGCGTCGTAAATAGACGACGCGCAAAAGCGTGTCGTCTCTCGTTATGACAGGTCCTTTCTTGACACGCATTTGCGCGTCGTCTGAGCGTTTTACGACACGCATTGCGCGTCGTAAAAGGTTGTTTTTCTAGTAGTGAACATTTCCCGTCTTCACAACAGATCTATCTTCAATTGGTTGAAAGTCCTTGAACCAATATAGATCTTTGCAAACATGACTTGTTGCTCCCGAATCAACCCACCATGCAACATTATCATCCTACACATAAAATGCTTCAGAAATCACATAAATATAATTATGAACATATTTAGAATTCTGCCAGGAAACATAAATCTGACCTTATTGCTTTTCTGGATCCTTGGATCCACTTGGTCCAACACCATCCTTGTTCACTTTGCGAAGACGACAATCTTTCTTGAAGTGACCCGGTTTGTTACAATTCCAACAAACCAACTTAGCCTTCTTGTTGGAAGACTTGTCATCCTTTCCTTTAAACTTCCTTTTTCCATTAGACTTCTTGGAATTCTTTGAACTTTCTCCTTCCACCATGTTCACAGATGAGGAACCAACTTGGTTCTTGCCTTTAGGATTGTTGTCAAGTTCTTGAGTCCTTATGGACTCTTCAATCCTTAAATGGATTCCATGTTGAGTCAAAGGCAATTGCACTTTAATATGTTTCAGATTGTGTTTAAAATCCTTCCAGGAAGGGGGCAGTTTGTCAATAATCACAGCCACAGAAATGGCTTCATCCATTTTCAAATTGTGTTGAGCAAACTGTCCCAGAATCCTTAACATTTCATGGAATTGTTCCATAACAGACCTAGAGTCAATCATCTTGTAAACCATAAAGTTACTAACAAGAAACTTCTTACTAGAAGCATCTCCAGCCATGTACTTGGATTCAAGAGAATCCCACAGTTCTTTTGCAGATTCGAAATTTTGATAGATATCAAAAAGAGAGTCAGACATACCATTGAGAATATGACCACGACATATGTAATCATCATTTTCCCACTTTGATCTTCTTCTTGTTGCCTCCAAAGGTTCATCTTCAACAGATTCTGGTAAGACTGACATGGGTGTACTCAGAACATACACCACTTTCAGAGTGGTAAGGAGAAACTTCATCTTCTTCTGCCATCTACGAAAATCTTTCCCTTCGAACTTTTTCAGTTTTTCAAACTTACTTGTCATTTCCTTCACAGAATCACCACTTGCCATGATCACAGAAATGCTCTAATATTTGTTATAGAAATGGGGTATAGTAAGGCTTGGAATTTTGAGAATTGTGTAAAACACTTTTAGATTAAAGCATTTGGGTGGTACTCCCAATATTCTTTAATCGGATAAGACTCACAGAGACAAGAACTTAGAATGTTTTGATGATAGTTTCGTATATACCAGAAATGAGACCAAAACCTACTTTCTGATCTTTGTCTGAAAACTGTCATATGGCAGTTTCAAACTGTCATAAAACTATAAAAAACTAACATAAAAATGGAAGGTTGTATAAGGGTCAAACAATGGTCAATTCTCTAAAAATCCGATTTTCTGATGCATTTTTAATACAGCTCGACCCCAGCCAGGGGCTCTGCCCCTTGGACCCCGCCCCCTTGGACCCCGCTCCCAGGGGCGCTGCCCCCGGACCCCGCTCCTAGGGGCGCTGCCCCCGGACCCCCGTTTGTTTAGGGGCTTCGCCCCTAAATGACAGTGTACTTTGAAACTTGATCAAACTTAAACAAGTGTGTACTCCACACCTTCCTTACTTGTTTAATATTTATCAAGATCACTTTTGGTCAACAAAGTAATCCCATTACACTTAAAAAATATTGATGATAACAAATCACCAACAGGGTTTCCTTAGAGTTTCTAGTTTCCTTAATTATTATTTTAAATGTCTTAGAACTTGAATCTATATACCACTTCTGCTCTTATATCTTAACTTCAATTGCCTCTGCTAATCCATCTCAACAAATGTATCCAATGAAAATAGCAAATAGCATGGGTTGCCCTTCTCATGCCCCACTGCTAGTTTTTGAAGAGTATGATCACTAGAAAGTTAGAATGGAAAGATTTTTATTTGGTAAGGAAAAAGGTGAAGAAATATGGAGATCTGTGAAAGATGGTCCACATGTTCCGGTCAGACAAATGGTGAGAGATGTCGCTGCAACTCTCATGGGCCAAGAAGAACAATGCCCAACACCTCTCATGACTACAGACATTGAGAAACTGCATGCAGATCAGGTTGCATTTTCCGAGATGGTGTTCGGTGTTCTTCCATCTCTCTTTGAGCACATTAAGTTGTGTAAATCTTCAAAGGATATTTGGGACACTCTTTAGAATCTGTTTGAAGGGTCTGTGAATATGAAAGATACATGTCTGACTTCGGTTGTTCACGATTTTGGTAACTTCACCACTACTCCAGGTGAATCCGTAGCCTCGGCTTCAAATAGGTATCAGATTGTTGTAAGCAACATGACTACACACAAAATAACCAGAAATCCTATAGAGTACAACCTGAAATTTATCAATAAGCTCAGAAAAGGATGGGGGAATGTCAAATTATGTCTTCAGAGTAATGGATCTCTGAAGAAGCTGAAGCTCTACCAACTCTTTGACGAACTACAACGCCACGAATCAAATGTTGCACAAATGTTAAGAGAACTGTCAGGACGTCCTCTTGCCTTAGTCAGTCATGTTAACCCACTCATTCCGACCCCATCTGTATCAGATCCATTTGGAACTATCCCACCTGTTACGCCAGTTCAACCAACCTTTCCTACTCCACCAACTCCACTTGTTCCGAACCATCCAGAGAATTTTGATCCCGATGCAGCTGAGTCCGAACTTCGCTTTCAACAAGAGTTTGCATTATTATCCATGAAATACAAGTGTCCATGGAATCCCACTCACAAAACCGTATCATAACCGATTCCAAGCCCTTCACCAAAATAATCCCCAACCATTTACTAAACCTTCAGAGAACCTACCTGCTTACAAACCCAACATCTCGTCATTAAGTCATCCCTCGAAATCCCATGATAATCCGAAGTCAGACAAACCCAAGATAATTTGTCACAAATGTGGTCATGGTAATCATTTTGCCAAAGATTATATGGTTGAAACCACTCAGAAACTAAAGATCAAGGATTCTACATACTATGTCCGCAGAGCTCAAAAGATGGCTGCAAGTGAGAAAGCATTCGTCACTAATGTGTCAAGAGATGTTAAAGGGTATTGGTCTTCTGGAGATAAGGACGATGTGAGTGCTGGCGGAAATATGTGTCTTATGGCTAGACAATCGATCGAATATGAAGAAGGCTACTGTTCATCAGGTTTATAAGGAGACGATGAAGATGCTGAGCCAAACTTTTGCTACATGGCAACCAATAATCCACCATGCAGAAGCATCATTTAGCAGGTAAGATCTATGATTACTGAAAATAATTATGATTTATCTCTTTGTGAACCATATCTAACCCAGATCCAATCAGATATGACCATCATCCATAAAGCCTATGAGTCTGTCATAGAATAAATGAGAAGTTGGAAAGTGAACTGACTCGCCTTAGATTACGATTCGAAGATAGGAAGCTTAAGATAGAATCACTAGAAAGAGAGCTTGTAATGTCTCAAGATGAATGTATCATTTTAAAAGACAAATGTGAAATCACTTATTTTGAAAGAAATGTTTTAGTTTCTGATAACAAACGTTTAAATGCCAAAATTGATGCTTTACATCATGCAATAGATATTCTTGAAGAAAATGAACGAATGACCCATAATTTTTGTCATCCATGGTCCAAAGTACCAGGCCTCGAAAACGAGTTTCCGAAACCTGTTGTTGGCCCCTTGAAGGAGTTACAAAATCTAACCTTTATGGAAGACATTCCAAACCACAAACATTCTGATACCCCTGTCTCACCATTGTCACCCCTTCCTGAGACCTCTGACCAATCTCAATCTCTGATTCCTGAGTTTCAACCCATAGTTGTCAAATGTCCTGATTCCACGCCTCTTTCGCCTCTAATACACGTGGACCTGAATCAGACCTCAGAGTCATTCCTTAGCATCACCCGTACTAGAGTTCAAGTTCCGAACTTCGGTCCTCCTAACAATTGTGTTGTTGAGGAATTAATTCCAGAAACAACTGGACCTAACACTGATAGATCAGATTTCGTTTGGGAATCTTTAGATAGTGATGTTGAGGAAGAAATTTTGTGTGATGATTCATTTGACTCGTGTGTTTCTAATTCTCAAGTGATTTCAAAAACGACCCTAGTGCCAATCAAGCCTAAGTTTGACAACCCATCAGCTGATCAAACTTCCAAGTCATCATCTGACTCTCGGAAGAAACCTTGGTTAAATAAGAAAGATATTATCGACCCTAAGATCGAAGCCAAACATGCCCTAAAAAAGGAAATTAGGTCAAGGCAAGATTCTAGATTCATTGAGAGATCTGAAAAGAAAGTATCTCGGACAGTTAGCCCAACCACTAGGAACAACAACACCTTTGCACCTGTTAA